TTGTTGCCTTCTCTAGTGCAGCTCAACCAGGTCTCGTCCCATTCGTCGATCTTTGTGATATCACAAATCCCGGAAAATATGCGTTGTAGTCCAAACGAGTCGTTCGTTGTAGTTTTTGAAAAGTGATTTCTGTTCAATAAAATATCTCCTTTTGAAGTGGACTTTGAGCTTTGTAACGTTGCAGATCTTTTTTATGCTCAAACAGCAACATTACAGACTAACTAAAGTTGAAAAAGTATAATAGGACGCCTTTAACATATTTTAAAATGAATTTTATCCCTGTCATGGCAAAGCGGAACAGCCATTTCTAGTCTTCAGTCCAGTCTTCATTGTAATATGCTGATTTGGTGCTCAAGAAACAATTCTTATAATTAATGTTGAAAACAGTTGCGCTGCTTAATGTATTGTGGAAACGGTGATACTTTTTTTCAGGACACTTGGATGAAAAGCTAGTTCAAAAGAACAGCATTTATTTAAATTTACAAATCTTTTTAATGTATTTACTGTCACTTTAATCAACTTTATACATCCTTGCTAAACAAAAGTACTAGTTTATTTTTTAAGCATTAATTTCTTTCTTTTTACCATATTATCAATAGTTTGTGCTTTAAAATAACATATTACTCATATCTGTCATAAATCAGGTTGTATTTTTCATATAATGTCAAAAATAAATTATTTTGTAATTTTGGATATAAGAAATTCAGTGTGAATGGTAGGAAATCATCTAGCGCATTTTTGCAGCAATGCGACCTGTGCTGCAACATGAGCACAGACATGTCAGCAGCGTCGGGACACATTCTGTACAACGACAGGGATGTCAGAATCATGACACACAAGCACGTCTGATGGGACCCAGGTCAGAGTGGGGGCAAGGGGTCAGAGTTGAAAAGTCACAGAGAGTCAGTAGCGAAAACGATTTCAAGTACAGTGTAAAGAAACAAAGAACAGGAGAGAAAGTCAAATGAAACAAGACACAGAACGTCTGAGGCCTGTGTGTGAACTGTAACCTTAACACTTACTAAGAGCCTGAATGTCTAAATATCTGCTGTACCCCTCACGCTCTCCGTTTCTTCAGCCACGCAAGAGCTGTGAGGGTCACCTCCCTTCCTCCATCCCTGAAATAAACACAAAAATCCAACAATCGAGTTGAGCTGCCGCTGATCCACGTCACTCAGATCTATTAATACACAACTGCTGCTCAATCTACAGTTACATAAGAAGCTAAAGGACCACCAGCCCCCCACCGACACAGAGAACAGGGTCTAGTTCCACGGTAACACCTAAATAACAATAGTCAGGGTAGGAGAACAAGTCTTCACACATATATTTCAGTGAGGAGATGCAGAGAATGGCTTTCAGAGAATATACTGAACATTGTATGTAGACCAGCATGAAAGTACTGTTAAATAGAGCAAAACTGATATTGAACTATATACACAGGAAGTCATTTTTTTTTGTGTGAGCAGTGTTATTTTAGTATTATTTATATACTATTAATGAATTAAGAATTGGCTTTTATTTTTAGACTTTCAGTTTTAATTTTAAGTTGAGCTTTTAGTATTTTTTCTGCTTTTGTAATTTTATTAGCTTTTTAAAAAATATTTATTTTTATTTAGCCTTACTTCATATTTCAGTTTTTTAATAATTATAGTACTCAAATCTATTTTATTTCAGTTAGTTGCCAAGTCAACAATTCTAATTTATCATTTATTCTAAGTTATAATTCAGTTCTTATTCTGTTTTGTATCTAATATTTATATTTTATTTCAGTTAACACACTTTTTTTTTAATTTTAGTTAATAATAATATGGATTGTGGCATGCAAAAAAAAAAGAAAAGAAAAAAAAGTGTTCCCTCTTGTACAAGTGTTGATGGATGAAAACATTGTCAGATCTGATGGGGGAATTAAATGTTACTACTCCTGAAAACTACAAGCCTTTATGATCCAAAGGTCAAAGGGCAGAGTAGCAGATGAAGGGAAGCACGAACTGTAGGCACTTCATGTAGGCATGACCATGAGGTGTGAATGAAAGGAAAGGCTTTATTTACTCACCCGTCTGATATGGTCTTATAATGCTCTGGTGTGCCTGTATGTGTAATGCATGTAGGACTGCAAGACCAAGGCCAAAATGATACAACTTTATGCATTATTAAATAAACGTAGCCAATAAAATGACACACTAAGAATTATTCCAATTGATTGTCATGTAAGTCCAATGGTATGGATTTAGTTTCAAGTGACCCCCTCTAAAGCAAACGAGCCTGAGACTTGATCGAACTGACCAACTGATCATTTGCCACTTTCGATGTCTTAGTTCAAATATGATCATTGTCTTAATTTTAAACAAATATCTTCACTACACAATACGGAGTAAAAAAGAATAAATATTAAATGCAAAACTTGTTTTCCCTACTTCATCCATTGTTTTATTATATTCACCCTAATTACCAGCTTTACAGTTATTAACTGAAAGCATTAAGTTGCATTAAAAATTAAGTTTGCTAAAATAAAATAAAAAAATCATAAAAATTAACGAATGGCCATCAAATGGGCTAAAATAATACAATGGTTTCTTCCTGTCCTTAATCTGGTTTGGCAAAAATTATTTCACCAGTCATCTATCACTGTCTATTCTTCTCAACAAGACAAAAGATCTACAAACTCTGATACATTCAGAATCTAATAATGCCTTCATTTCTACCTTAACAGTCCTCCTTCGTTCTTCACCTCTTTCTTTCCCTCTTTACGCACTCTTGCTAATTAATCCCTCCTCAGCCTGTTTTACAGCACATTTTCCATGTCTGAAGAATTGTTTTAGCCTCACATTTTTTTCCATAGCTGTTCATCTCGGGTGCTAATCCCGATCTGACGATCTTCATGTATTTTCAAACATACCTTCACATTACAGCTCTTACAGAATGGATATACATTTTAATCCTGTACCACATAATTATAACAAGGCCTTGTATGTTTTTAATCCCCACAAAAAGCCAAGTCCTTGGTCGTCCCTTACTGCATATCAACATCCCAAAACCATTTGAGCAATCGCTCATTCGACCCCCTCCCCCTCCTCCCTCCTCCACCCTCCACCATACCAGCACCACAATTCCCCATTCACTGTCTCCATCCTCCTGTCGGTGCACGTTCCAAAAACAGATCCAAATTTCAACCCCGCTTTCAAGGCTGCTCACCCCCACTGCAGTTGTCGCCCAATTGCTCCAATCACACCCCTTCATCTCTCTTCTCAAGGCCATGCCCCTTCCTCACCATATTTGTCTGATCTCAGCCAATAGGGGTGTGACCTGGGAGATGGTTTGTCTGGTGTCTTTATAAAACTCTACAGAGATGGGTGGAAGTTTGCACTTTCTGTCAGCCCTGCGCTCCAGAGGGAGGAGAAGGAGAGAGAAAGAGAGAGGGGAGAGAGAATCAAGGGGCCATCTGTTTTGTCCCTATCCTACACTTTTAAAAAGTGTTGGTGCGTAATCTCTTTTGCACTCAATTTGTTTTTTAAATAACTTTAGTTTCCTGTAAAAAGCCTTAAAACTGGATTTTCTGCATTTCTCTGGGTAGGAATCCAACTCATCTACATCTCTTGTGTTGTATTTTTGAAGTCTCCCCTTTGAGCAGACAGGATGGAGAACGCACACACCAAAGAAACAGCAGAATGCCTGGCCTACTTCAGCGTGAGCGAGACCACAGGCCTCGCTCCGGATCAGGTCAAGAAAAACCAAGACAAGTATGGATTCAATGGTGAGGAACGCGTGGACGAATGATGGAGGCATCTGTAAAATCTGAATGGATGTTTGATTGCAATGAAACAATGTTGGGATGAATTAACAGAACAGGACCTTTTGAAGGGGAGGTAGCAAGAATTCCCAACTTAGTACATGTTTAGTTGTGATCAGTTGAGAACAGACATCAGCGAAAAAGATCAATTAGTTATACTGTATCTCAAGACCTTTTTTAAATTCAATTCAGATGCATTTAAACATTTTTAGAGAAGACGGCATACATTTCCAGGAGTACTTTACATACTGCATAGAGAATTTAAAGCTCTCAGCCAAAGGCAAAATTACCCTGAACAGATGCACTTATCCATGCAGCATAATAACATTAAGTTGTTAAAGCAAGACTAGAAGATAAAGCAAAGAAAGAAGAAAAGCACTAAAGTGAGTAGAAGGTCGAACGAAAGGACAAATGGCTAGACTACTAACTGAACACTTTGATACGCGTGAATTCAGCTCATTTCAGAATGAAGTATTATACCATCATTTAATATGCTATGTTATGGTGATTGTTGATGGGAAAGATATTGATGGCTAATTCTAACGGTTTTGTTTCTACTCACATCTGCCATTCTTCTTGTCTACTGGACCAAACTGACCAATCACAGAGCTGCCCGCTGAAGAAGGTGAGTTCTCCATTTACTGTTATTATAGAATTATATGACAAGACCTAGACGTAGAATTGACATCAGTTCTGTTATTCAGTTTTTTTTTTCAGTCAGTTTCCATTTGATTTATGCACTTCTCTTTTCAGTCAAACAAAGATCGTGCTTGTTGTGCTAACCAAATGGTCATATTGACTTACTTATTGAACTATATATATATATATATATATATATATATAAAATGAAACATTACCTTCTCTCTCAGGTAAGAGCATCTGGGAGCTGGTGGTTGAGCAGTTTGAAGATCTCTTGGTCAGGATCCTGCTGTTGGCTGCTTGCATCTCTTTTGTAAGTAAACATCATGTAGTGCACAGCTTTTAGAAAACTCTCTTTGCACAGGTAATGTAGGTAAAAGGTAACATTTTAATGAATGGACGGGGTTTCATTTAGAGGTACAGACAATGATTAATAATGTGAATGTGAAGGACAGGGACACATTTCCCACATTCCCATCCGTTCTTGTCAATCAAGCTAAACGGTAACCCTACGGCCTCGAGTATATAATGGGTAGACAATAATCCAGCTGTTTATCTGTGCCGGGTAGTATGAGATTCTTATATTTGCGTGAAACAACACTGCTAGCATGAGATGCTAGGTATCTTTTCTTAGTCCCAGACACATACATGCCCTCACTCTTGAAATCTGAGTACCCGCCGCTCTGATAATGAACGAGTGACGGCACATAAAAAGGCAGTTCTTTCTTTCTTCCAAATCTGTTTTGAAATAAATGAAGCAGACACAATTAGTTCTGCTGTTTTGTTCAGGTCTTCGTCGAGCCTTATCACAGCTGTCATTATGGCCTTAGAAGGCCAGGATAGAAGCTTTGAGGAGAAGCAAGGACCGAGAAAGAATAGAGAGAAAAAGAAAAAAGAGAGAGAGTGAGTGAATAAGACAGAGAGGAAAGGACTGTTATTTTAAGGTGGTCTTAAGCCAGTCCAAGAAACTGAATCCACCCACAAAGGTCAAAGATGGAAGGAATGAAAGCCAGATTGGTGGAGAGACTGTAAAGATGAGGGAGAGAAAGACAGACAGCAGGTGCTAACGTGACATAAATTGAGGGATGCGTGTACTGTGCACACGTAAGAATTACACCTCAACCATAACTTAATTTACAGATAAAGTGTGTGTGTGTGTGTGGGGGGGGGGTTACACTTACTTGAGCAAAACTTTCAGAGCGTATGCGCACACAGAAAACACACCTACCCATTACAGAACACTTTGTGTATTTTTAGATTTTCAAAGAAAACACCATGTGGTATGTTTTTTAAGCCTTTTGAATTATGTGGACATATGCAGTGTCATCATAAACCACCTTCACATTGTAATACCTACCTCGTCATATCCATGTCATTATACAGATTTGTGTCCCCATAAACCACCCAAATGTGCACACACACACACACACACACACACACACACACAATTTCACATACATCCACTGTCTCTTTAATCAGACTCTAATGAAATGGATTGTAAATATTACATTTTCTTTTACCTCCCATATGGATCTTGGATGTCTCTCTCACACTCTCTCTGTTCATCAGGTACTGGCCTGGTTTGAGGAAGGCGAGGAAACGGTCACTGCCTTTGTCGAGCCATTTGTCATCCTTCTCATCCTTATTGCTAATGCTGTCGTTGGAGTATGGCAGGTAAATATGCACATCCATTTTACTTCCCAAAATACACTGGCAGGTATCTGGATAATAGAGGCAACCTCCAAAAAAATAAATAAATAAAATATAATATAAAATAAATAAATAAAATAAAATGACAACATTTTCAACTAAGATGAACTTATTGTTAACATAAAAAGAGAAATATAAAATTTAAAGTAAAAAGAAATTTAAAAAACACTTTTCAAAACATTGGACAAAAACATGTTTATAAGGTTTTAAATCTTAAGACAGGAGATATATTGTTCAAATCGAAGGCAAAACGTATTTGGAAATGTTCTGGTAATGTGAGGATTAACTACACTTACAATTACACTACATGTGAATTAAGAGAAGCAGACCTCATAAATCCACTACTGGTAAAATAACATTGTCCAGTTGGTTAAAAAATAATTGTAAATGGCTAAACTGAAGGTATCACTAAGAAAAGCTCTAGCATCATGTGTTTGAAGATACCACTTGTAGTTATCTTGCAGTTATCTAATACAATAAAAAAAATGCATTTCAAGAGTAACTGAAGTCCAAAACTATTTTGGGGGCCACTATATATAATATACAGTGAATGCAAGCATTAGAACTTAGAGTGGTGTAAATGACATCAGAGGTCAAAGGTTAGGCACAGCAGTATTCACAAAGGTCCGGTGGCAAAAATACTAGAAGCTGATCAGGTTTCATCAAGGGTCCATACAGCTAGCACAACAGTCATTTGGAAAGTATGCACACCCTTGGAAGGAGAGAGACGTCAAGGTGTAAACTCCTAAGGGGAGCAGGAACTGATCAAGAACTTTGTTTTCACAGGAGCGCAATGCGGAGAGCGCCATCGAGGCTCTGAAGGAGTATGAGCCAGAGATGGGTAAAGTCTACCGTGCTGACAGAAAGAGCGTACAGAGGATCAAAGCCAGAGAGATTGTTCCTGGAGACATTGTGGAAGTTTCAGGTATACAAGTGGACACGAGTGTCTAACAGCATCAACACAGAACAATCTCGTAACACTCTAACACACAGGAACAGTGCAATGATCTGAAAATGAGTAAGCAACACCTTCAAGCCAACTGTTACACTGTGTAACCACAATGATGTCAAGTAATGAGACATGTGTGTGGAGGCGACAGGATTATATGCGACTTATGCCCTTGAGAAAGTGTGAGCGTCCTTTTAAGGCAATTACGGTGTGTGTGACAGTGGGAGGAAGAATATAGAGTAATGGGATCAGAAAAGGCTGAAAGAACCCGCGAGAGCATGAGCAAAGAAAAGGCCTGTATATAAATACATCCCAGCACCTGTTCCTCGACTTGCCCTCTTTCGATCCCTTGCCTCTTCTCTTTCCCTCTTCCACCTGTTCCTTCCTCATCACTCATTTTCTCTAGGCCACTTGTTTACACCATGTTGAAGGTCGGCTTGTCCTTGTCATTCTTCTCTTTTATGTATTTTCCCCTTGATCAGGTCCCCCTTTTGAATCTCTAATCTTTCACCAAAAGATCAGCAAACATTATTGACAGCGGAATTATCTTTAGACTAGATAAGGAGGCCAAATCTGATGGGCCATTTACATGCAAAGTAGCTCCAACATATCTGCTGGATGTTTTTATAGTCCTGAAGACCTTGGTTAGCTGGTTCAGGTGTGTTTAAGCAAAGACTTCAGATATACCAAGACGTTGCACTCCTATGACTTCCCTATGGGAGAAAGTGTAATGCGCAATATAGCGGAATAGTCCCGTCTGCTCAATAAAAGAGCCAATCGCTAATCAGTAAAGTCATCATGTCTCTGCAGCTGCCGTTAGAAGCTCCGGATGCTGCTAGGTTGTGCTAGGACTGCGCATGCACATTGGCTGTGCTAGCCTGAAAAATAAACATAAGCATAGCCTGGAAAATGAGCATAAGAAACAACATTTATGAGACAGTTGTTGTCAGATTTCACTGGTGATTTTGAATATGAAATTTAATTGCAAGCTTGGTGAACAGTTTTGGAGAATTTTAGGTTTCCTCATTCAAAGAGATGTGGAAACATGTTTTTTTGTATTTTGGTTTAAGTAGGGTTGAAGCTAAACCAAAGTCCCTTTCAAGGAAAGTCTGTTCATTCGGCGGCCATATTTGCAATGCCTCCGGGCAGCTCATACAAGACCAAGTTTTTTCTAAAAGAATGTGATCCTGAAATCACAAAAACTGCTCCCTGAACTCGCAATTAAATTACATATTTCAAATCAGCAACAAAATCTGAAATGAACTGCCCCATCAATGTCATTTCTTATGCTCAAATTTTTTAGGTTAGACCAGCCAGTGCGCATGCGCAGTCATAATGCGGTAATGACTGCGCATGCGCTTTAGCTGGTCTAGCCTCAGGTTTCTATGGGAACCGGAGCTTCTAATGGTTGCTTCAGTGACGCAATGACTTTACCAATCAGCGATTGGCTCTTTCACTTAGAAGACGGGACTATTCCGCCATATGGCACGTTGCAGTTTCACCCATTCATAAGTATAGGAGTGAACCATACATATCTATGGAATGAACCGTCTTTGTATTTCTACAGTCTGTGGCTAAACTCAGTAAGGTGGACCTCCAGGAGCAGGATTGGACAGCCCTGGACTAGAAGAATTTTAAATAATTGTCAAACCATTACTCGATGTATAAATATATAAATATTTTTTTTAAATATGAATTGTTCTTCATATATGTCTTCTTAATTCTCAACTTTTTCCTGTGTAGTTGGTGACAAAGTCCCTGCTGATATTAGAATCACCGCCATCCGCTCCACAACTCTGCGTGTGGACCAGTCTATCCTCACTGGTTCGTCTCCGATTTACAAAATCTGATCAGTTGTCTCCCAATACTCACAAAAACATTGCATGTAACTTTATCCTTCTCTCAGCTCTTTTCTCACTTTATTCTCAGGTGAGTCCGTCAGTGTGATTAAACACACAGAGTCTGTTCCTGACCCCAGGGCTGTCAACCAGGACAAGAAGAACATGCTTTTCTCTGTGAGTTTCCCTTTCGTCAGCTTTTTGGTGTCCCTCTCTTCTTTTTCTAGCACTAGCACTAGCACTAAAACATTCTCTCGCTTTCCTAGGGCACTAACATCGCTTCTGGCAAGGCTATCGGAGTTGTGGTTGCCACCGCCGTCTCCACTGAGATCGGTAAAATCCGTGACCAGATGGCTGCCACTGAGCAAGAGAAGACCCCCTTGCAGCAGAAGCTGGATGAGTTCAGTGAGCAGCTCTCCAAAGTCATTTCCCTCATCTGTGTGGCTGTCTGGCTCATCAACATTGGCCACTTTAACGACCCCGTCCACGGTGGCTCCTGGATCCGTGGTGCTGTCTACTACTTCAAGATCGCTGTGGCTCTTGCTGTAGCTGCTATCCCTGAAGGTGAGTTTACAGGAGTCATGATACAAATCAGGGTACAGCAGTGTGAAATCAAAAGGAAAAATTCATACAAGATTCATGACTCATGACTTTATAAATTGAGTAAATCCACCAGTGTGTATTTGACACATCTGTTATTTTCCAAATAGGTCTGCCTGCTGTCATCACTACCTGCTTGGCTTTGGGAACCCGCCGTATGGCTAAGAAGAACGCCATCGTCCGTTCTCTTCCCTCTGTAGAGACTCTGGGCTGCACATCCGTCATTTGCTCAGACAAGACCGGCACCCTCACCACCAATCAGATGTGTGTTACAAAGGTTTGTGAGAGACATTGTCTTGCTCCAAAAGAAATTAAGCAAGCACCAATACACCAGTCCTCTCACTACAACCACGAAACCATTCTGTTTTGCTTACTGTTTTAAGCTTTGTTCTCTTGGTATTTAGATGTTCGTCATTGAGAAGGTGGACGGGGAGACTGTGACTCTTGACCAGTATGACATTTCTGGATCCAAGTACACACCAGAGGGAGAAGTGTAAGAAATTTTATATTCATTAAGTGATGCAAACACACGCACACAGAGAGACTCACCGTTCTCCTTACTTTACCTTACAGTACTAAGGGTGGACTTCCTGTCAAGTGTGGTCAGTATGATGGCCTTGTTGAGCTGGCAACCATCTGCGCCTTGTGCAATGACTCCTCTCTGGACTACAATGAGGTAAGCAAACATTTATTCTGTTTTCATCAAATATCTTCCATTTGTGGAGCAACAACTGAGCTTAACTCTCACTCTCTTGTTTTACAGTCAAAAGGAATCTATGAGAAAGTGGGTGAAGCTACAGAGACCGCCCTGTGCTGCCTGGTTGAAAAGATGAACGTGTTCAACACTGATGTCCGTGGTCTGTCCAAGGTGGAGAGAGCCAACACATGCTGCACTGTAAGTATCTCAGCCTCTTCGGAGCTCTTTAAGTTCATGTTGGTCCGCTGTACTGTGTCCCTCAGCTGTATTAGCCCTAATTTATGACTGAAATATCAATAGGATATCTATGATAGTGGTGCTTCTACACACTTATGGTCAGATATTTTGTAATAGTTCAACTGTCAAGTTCATATTCCAAGATAGAATTTTTATTTAATTCCTTGGTTTTTCTAGGTGGTCAAGCAGCTTATGAAGAAGGAATTTACTCTCGAGTTCTCCCGTGACAGGAAGTCCATGTCCGTCTATTGCTCCCCTGCAAAGGCCTCCAAGGCCCCTGTTGGAAACAAGATGTTTGTCAAGGTAAGACCAATCCTTAAAAAGACCTAGTAAAATTAAATACCTTAAAGAGAATCTAAATCACAAAATTGTTATTGTTGTAGGGTGCTCCTGAGGGTGTGATTGACAGATGTGCCTATGTGCGTGTTGGAACCACCCGTGTGCCCCTGACTGGTCCAGTTAAGGATAAGATCATGGCTGTGATCAAGGAATGGGGAACTGGCCGTGATACCCTGCGCTGCCTGGCACTGGCAACCTGTGACAACCCTCTGAGAAAGGAGGAGATGAACCTGGAGGACTCCACCAAGTTTGCTGAATATGAGGTGTGTGATTTGTGTGAAAGACAAACACATCATTTGAATTCCAACTAGTATGATAACTGAATTTTGATAAAGCTAACCCCTCCTTTTTTGCTTTCCTCACAGACTGATCTCACCTTCGTGGGTTGCGTTGGTATGCTGGATCCTCCTCGTAAAGAGGTTGTTGGATCCATTGAGCTGTGCAGGGCTGCTGGTATCCGTGTGATCATGATCACAGGTGAATCATGTTCGATCCTCAAATAAGTGCTGACAGAACATCTGACAAAAATACATAATAGGTAATCCAATGCAATAATGCTGAAAATATAATTTCTTCTTCCCAGGTGATAACAAAGGTACCGCTGTGGCTATCTGCCGCCGTATTGGCATCTTCAGTGATGATGAGGATGTGACAGGCCGTGCTTTCACTGGCCGTGAGTTTGATGACCTGCCACTGGCCCAGCAGAGAGAGGCTGTGCGTAAGGCCTGCTGTTACGCTCGTGTTGAGCCCTCCCACAAGAGCAAGATCGTTGAGTTCCTTCAGGGTTTTGATGAGATCACTGCAATGGTAAAGGAACTGAATGGAGCAAATTACAGAAAATTTGACAAAAGCCCAAATATATTTAAGAAATACATTTAACATGCTTGCGTTTTTTGCTACTCCCTACCTCCTCTACACACTCTCCAGACTGGTGATGGTGTGAATGATGCTCCTGCCCTGAAGAAGGCAGAGATTGGCATTGCCATGGGCTCTGGCACTGCTGTTGCCAAGTCAGCCTCTGAGATGGTCCTGGCCGATGACAACTTCTCCAGCATCGTGGCTGCCGTTGAGGAGGGCAGAGCCATTTACAACAACATGAAGCAGTTCATTCGCTACCTCATCTCCTCCAACGTCGGAGAAGTTGTGTGGTGAGTGACAGTCTCTCTCTTATACATTTACCCTCTGGAATCGGGAATAGGCTGACTCTAAACCAGATTTATTTTCTCCATCTTCTTCAGTATCTTCCTGACTGCTGCTCTTGGTCTTCCTGAGGCTCTGATCCCAGTTCAGCTTCTGTGGGTGAACCTGGTGACTGACGGTCTTCCTGCCACCGCTCTGGGATTCAACCCCCCTGATTTGGACATCATGGGCAAGGCTCCCCGCTCCCCCAAAGAGCCCCTCATCTCTGGCTGGCTCTTCTTCAGATACCTGGCCATTGGAGGTGTGCTGCTTTCCATATTTCTGCTTCATCCCTGATCTATTCTAGGTTCACCATGTATTCAGTGATATTGTACATTCCCCTGATTACCTCAAGACTGCATTACAGATTCTGTTTAATATCTCTCTCAGGTTATGTTGGTGCTGCAACTGTCGCTGCTGCTGGCTGGTGGTTCCTTTACTGCGAAGATGGCCCCATGGTCTCTTTCTACCAGCTGGTGAGAATCTAATGCTACAGGGATGCAATAATTGATGGCTAATGTCCCTGAAAGTTGAGAATGAAACAACTGATAACTATAAATGACAGTAACAATGTGGTACATTTCACAATAAAGTAATAATGCTAAACCTATTCTCTGTCCCCAGTCCCACTTCATGCAGTGCACTGCTGAGAACGAGGACTTTGCTGGCATTGAATGTGAGGTGTTCGAGGCTGCTCCTCCCATGACAATGGCTCTGTCTGTCCTGGTCACCATTGAGATGTGCAACGCTCTGAACAGGTCAGTACTTACCAAATCCAACCATCATAAAGCAGCTGATCATAAATGTTTTTATGCTGATTTTAACATACATTGGCGGATGGTTTTGCAGCTTATCTGAGAATCAGTCTCTGCTGCGTATGCCTCCGTGGAGCAATGTGTGGTTGGTGGGAGCCATGAGTCTCTCCATGTCTCTTCACTTCATGATCATCTATGTGGATCCTCTGCCCGTAAGTGCGGCGTCCATCCAGCATGCTGAATTCGGTTCAGTTCATGTGTTTAGCAATATTGCTATGCAGGCTAAAGGGGCTGCCACGAGGGGGTGATGAAAGACGTGTGCCCAGGAGCCTTAGGAGACCATGACCAGGCCCAGCCAAGAGACACTTCTTATGTCCAAGGCTGCGTTCGCTTTTAGACATATACTCGCAAACTTCCCTAAGTACTTTCCTCGGGGGAATCCCCACTGCCATTTTGAAGTGTGTTCCACTTGGTGAAGTGGATGAGGAACGTTTATATGGACAGGCCTTCGACCCCTTGATTTTGTCAGAGGGAGCAAGTCTACTTCATAATTACACTTCAGGTTGCTCCATAGACCACAATGCAACACGATTGTGACATCACCACAGATTGTGTTTAATTTATCCCCACCCCAAACAACTCTATGATATATAAATTATTATTTTTTTAATATTTAAAATAGCCCAAGCATACCTACTGTATATTATATATATAATGCTGCATCAACCAAATTCTTAAGGGAAAAATGTAAGTAATAAATCAGCTCCAAAGCAGATTTCGACTGATTAAGGGCTTTGTTGTTCCACTTCAACCCATTGCAATGGTTCCGCCAGTAGGTGGGCACTTATGCAACGTAATCAATGATGTACATCCATGTCAATGACACGAAGGGAAGTTATCGACGGAAGGGCATAAAAAAAAACTGGAATGCAGTTCAAGTCATGTCCCAAACACTGATTCAACTGCAAATCCATTATATGGCAATATTTTAATTCTTTAATTAATTCACTTCAATTCATTTAAATAAATTATCCCATCATTCTGTTTTAATCCAACTGTTATAATCTATCATTTGCTAATCTCTGCCTTTTCCTCTAACAGATGATCTTCAAACTAACCCATCTCAGCTTGGACCAGTGGATCGTTGTTCTGAAGCTTTCCTTCCCTGTCATACTTATTGACGAGCTGCTTAAGTTTGTTGCCCGTAACTACTTGGAGCGTAAGTAACCTTTTAAAACACACAAACACATCACAAATTTAATTAAAATATGTTAATGTTTTTTTTTAAGATTTACAAATGATTAATAAATGTGTATGTTAATAAAAGAAGTGGATATTGATATTTAAAATAAACATACTAAGCATATTTAAAGTAACATACAAATACATAACTAAATACTGATTAAAACCAATTCAACCACTTACTGCATGTAATAAAGTCCTGACTAACTGTATAACAAGCAAATATAAATTCCTATTATGACTAATTCATTTCCCTTTTAAAATTGTATTCTCCTTTACTTATCTCTTGCCCTCTTTTCTGAACCCTCCTCTCTGCACTACATTTCTTCTGGTGGTGTAAATATTTCTCCTCTTTACCCTTTTCCTCCTCACTCAATCCCCTGCTCAACCCCTTTTTATTTCATTCCAGCCTAATCCTGTCCCCTTCCATATTCCTGTAACAAAGCAAGGTATCCCATAATCCTCTCTGTCCGTGCCTGCCTGCATCCCTGTGTCTGTTTGTGTATGGACAAATTGTGCTACATTCTTTGGCTTGTTGATTGAGATGTATATGTTCTAGTATCAGTAATGGAGCTCCTCAGACCTCGACTTCTGAATCAGTGAATGACTGTAAAGTAATGCTCCATATAGCAATAGATGCCACTGTAGAATCTTAATATCATTATCAGCAGGGAAAATGCACGATTAATGCTAAACTCTTCCTTATATATGTGGGTTTGTCCAGTTAATGCAGACAGTAGATTATGTTCAATTAAAACAGTTAGTTTAAAGAATATTTCCATATTTAAAAATTTAATTATGACTGTTAAGACTATATCTTTTATGATTATGTGCTTCAAAGCAATGTGTGCCTAGATTATTTGAAATTCACAATAGTGTTGTGGACTATCTTTAAATCATCCTGTCTCACATAACTTATTTTCTTGAACAGAGAAAGATGAGAATCTAGTGTCCAAAAAGTGGGACTGAAAAAGCGAAGAAGAAATTAGCAAAACAGCACTCCAAAGCAGAAAAATGAAGTTCGCCAGGAGTGAAAACGTAAACCACTGTGAACCAGTGAATCCATCATGGATTTATCATCCATAAAATCTAAAACTTTATAGAACAAAGGAAAAAAATATTTAAGTAAAATGTGTTATGTATATGTATTAAGACTTAATTTAATATATATATATTGTTATGAACGGTATATTCTAATGAAAACGCTATTCTTAAAATAAAGATGTGTATAAAAAAACATGCGTGATCTGTTACTGTCTTTTAGTTTAACTTTTATTTTTCATACATATGTAATGCACTCAGATTTGTTACTAACATTGTGCTACATATATATGAATGAACATTTATTAGTCCCATTCAAACAGATTTAGTGTTTTATCAACTCTTTAACATACCATTGATCTTCCACTGTTCATTGGCTCAGGCACCAGATGCTTCATAATGAAATGATGGCTCTTTCCAGTAAAGGGACTTTGGCCTTAAATTGAATGCAAAAATAATTATAGTAGGGTAGGTAGTATTATAGCAGGGGGCAACTGTCTTTTCAGCACAAGTTCTCTATCTGTCTGAGAACAGTAAGTATGAATATTTCACTTTGAAATAAAGTTTCAACAAAAACCATTTGAGGTACAAAAATATTTTAGGGGGTAATATTTTCTAATGCATTTAATTTAAAGTAATATTTATTTGATCTCTTGGTTTCTGGCTTTAAGTTAACATAAAAGGAGTATGCTAACACTGTTGCTGGTGGATATCATAAAAGCTTTCATCATGGCTGTGAAACTGGGGGCAATTGTAACACTACTTATGAATACAAATGGTATGAATTGAAAGATTTAATCTTTAAAACAATAATATATTGTAAAACTAGCATTTAGTCGACAGCTTCGCTTATTAAAATAGGTTGCATCTCATTTTTAAAAAATTATGTATTTAATGTATTAAGACATTATTTAAGACAGCTAAAAGAATTAGTACCACATAAAGGCGAAAGATATTCCGATATTATGTGGAATATTATTAAATATTATGATAGTCCTTTTCATTATATATTTATTAATGATACTGTTACTTTGGCACATAGATTTTTTTCTTATAGCAATAACGGGTAGGTCTGTAGTAGTCTGAGAGTTCCAATTGCCCCCAGTATGTTTTTTGGTTTTTATTTTGCTGGTGACAGGTGCTGAAAATGAGTAATATATCTCCATCAGTATATCTATTAGGAAAGAAGGATTAGGCCAGGAAGATAAAACTTACACTGCAGTAGCATTAAGTCTAGTCAGCTAGTAGTCAGTGTATTAGCTTTCCCCAAAACTCAAGTATTAGCAATTCCAGTTTGTCCAGATTGATAAGGAATCGTGTTTCCCCATATGGTCTGAGTTCTTTAGAAGAAATGTGAATGTGAACCCATGAGTGCAGGAATGGCCATTTAGATCTTCATGTCACTGTAGGTTTCTTTTTCATGTAGGCAGCCCACCTCAGCTTGGCCCTTTTTGAGGACCACCTCCTTGTCCACTAGAGTCTCTTCCTTTTGGTTGGCCAAAATGTCACCTATTCTTATATTGTTTCATGTGGCATCTGCAGGCAAATCAGTGTCTTCAATCTCCTCCCCTAGAATGTGCTTCACTTGGTTCAAAGATTCTGCCTGGCGAACCTGCTCCAGTTTCACCTGAGAATGCAGAGAGAAGAAATTATTTTTAAAAAACTATGCTAGAAGTTTTTGCCACAATGCTGAACTCAATGCTAATCCTACATCAGTGAAGTACCTGCAGTGACTGCGACAGCTGCACAAAATCCTTCTGCACAGCTTGACTAGTGTCTAGTTGAGAGCGCAGACTGATCACCTGACTGCGATACTCTAAACACTGCTGCTGCAACACTGCCTGAAAGACAGACATGGAGAGATGTAAACTACTATATAATCCAATTCAGTGATATTCACCTATTCACACCAAGATGCAGGCATACCTTCTCCTGGATGTGAGATTTGTTCTCCTTCTGAAGGTGAGAAAGTGCCAATCGCAGACCCTGCACCTCTACACGACACTCCTGCAGCTCAGCCTCCAACTGCACACACAGATGGGACAATGGATACTAGCGTACTGCATTGTACACACTGAACAATGTTGAACACATTATACAACAGCATTATACAACAAACTTTTCAAACAACACTACACTGTTGTCACATGATTTCATTATGTGCATGTTTAATTTTGTGAGAGTGCATCCAATTATAAAGGGATAAATAATTTTTCCATTTTGTAATATTGTGTAAAAAAATGTCTGAACCATTGGTAGTCAGATTAAATGAGTCAAGCAGAGATGCATAAAAAACACACACAAACGCACAAGAAATAACTCCTGAGAATGAAAGGCTGCCATACCTTTTCCTTTTGGATCTGTATGCGGTCTGTCTCTACTGTCAGGCTGGCAAGCTTAACTGAGGGAGAGAGATTTCAATCACAAACTTACACTGGACACACAGTTTCATGGTAATACACTAAAATATCAAAACCTATCCTCATACAACAACTAGGATCTACACTATTGACAAAAAGTTAAAGTATGCATGACTTGCCTTCTAAAATTTCTGGAGGAGCAGATGTGACAAGAAACATCAGGAGAAAAGACAAAAAGGTGAACGTCATTGAAGAGAAAACAATCTAAAGCTTCAACAAACAGGACAAATGGCAGACGATGATTCAAATGATTTATTCGGAAACATTTTATTCAAATGTTTTACGAACAGTGAGGGAAAGCAAAAACAAGCATATGCCAAATGCATTAATGTAATGTTATCTAATGATATTGACAGACCGCTTTTAGGCCAGGAAGATAAAACTTACACTGCAGTAGCATTAAGTCTAGTCAGCTAGTAGTCAGTGTATTAGCTTTCCCCAAAACTCAAGTATTAGCAATTCCAGTTTGTCCAGATTGATAAGGAATCGTGTTTCCCCATATGGTCTGAGTTCTTTAGAAGAAATGTGAATGTGAACCCATGAGTGCAGGAATGGCCATTTAGATCTTCATGTCACTGTAGGTTTCTTTTTCATGTAGGCAGCCCACCCTTTCTTCTGTGCGTGTCTCCAGCTGTTCCTGTAGGTTGACTATTTCAATACGAAGCCTCTCCTCACAGTGAGCTGCCTTATGCATAGAGATACACACTGACTTAATCACTTAAGACAAATACACACACACCTCTCACCACCTGTTGTCAAATTAGCTTTTAAACACACACTCATTCACATACCTCTAGTGTTGGACTGCGGGGTGGAAGGCTATTTTCATCCACATCAGTGTCTTCACCTTTCAACTTGGAGAGTTCATTACAAACTCTCTTCTGAGAGTAAGACAGCTCCGCCTGCATGACAAAAAGTACACACAGACTCATTAGTTTGTGATCTCATCAAGATGTTGGATCATGGATTCCTGCTGCCCTTTGATTGCACCATTCAGCTGCTACTCACCAATCTGCTCTGAACAGCATTTTGTGACTGGCTAAATGATTTCTGTAGGTCTTGAAGAAGAGTCTCAGAGGTTTGCACCTGAGACTGAAGCACCGACAACTGCAATAGACAAAAACACATCAAGATATCAATATATAACTTTGCTTTGGAAAGTAATTATCTGTAGATATGCTATATCAGGGTGTATGCTCAAAGCAATTAAACCACATTGAAAAAAATATATTATATTATATTACATTTCATTACATACTTCCACTCAAAGGTTTGAGGTCATTAAGATTTTTATACATAATTTTATTCAGCAAGGATGCATTAAATTGATTAAAAGTGACAGTACAGAAGACATTTATTGTGTTACAAAAAAAATCTATTTCAAATAAATGGTGATCTTTTGAACTCGCTACTCATGAAATAATGTATCAATGTATGACTGTTTACACAAAAATATTAAGCAATGCAAGTCATTCTGGCTGTTTTTATTTGGTCTGTGTGGCGAAAGACAGGAACTCAGAGTTTCTGTACCTGTTTTTGTGTCTCTTTGCTTTGCACATCCAGTTCTTTCTCCAGCTCAGCTTTCTGCTTTTGAAGCTCTGTCACCTCCTCTTGAAGCTCTACAAGCTAAAAATGCCATGATATCAGATTCAAGTTAGATATTCAGTTAGTTGAGGGATGGTGACATCACGCACTGACTCATGAATAGTAATTTCTAGCTGTTAAGTATTCTAGAGCCAAGCGTAACTAGAAAAACTTTACTTTTTAGTGTTTTTTAATTTTCATGACTTTTCCAGGCCTGGCAACCACAATCTTAAAATACAGTTACATTACAGTTTTCAATGGTCGTGGGAAACCTGCTAGAAAAACTAGGCGTATACTGACTTGTGCTTGCAATTTGTCCCAGTCTGCATGTGTGACCAGTCTGTGTCCCGGTGGTGGCAGGTAGATGGCTTCAGGCACCAGCGTTCCTGTGGACACCAGGGAGGCGGTGTCATCTTGAGGGGGCGTATGTCGGGGTAAAGAGGGTGTGTCCATAGAGAAAGAAGACAGAGAGGCCGAGTCACAGTGCTGGGGAAAGTAGTCCATCATAAGGCCTGTTGTCTCTGTATCTGACGTCTCCGCCAACAGCTCCAGCGGATCAGAGTCTGACCCTGAGCCCTCATGGTCAGCAGCTCGCAGGGGAGGGAAACCACCCTGTGGATGAGAGGTACCCTCCACCTTGCCCTTTTTAGAGATGCCCTGCATGCACAATGAAATGTGTAAAATGCAGAAGTGACTTACGGGCATTTTAATACAGAAACTGAAAGATGTTTCAAAAAGTGAAAGACACATAATGTGCCAAAAAAAATCAGTCTTGGCCTCAGTACTTGGATAACAAAGAAGGGGGGGGGGGGGGCAGGACACACAAACCTTAGTGTCCTGGGGCGAAGTGGCTCTCCTATAATGTGATCGTTCTGACAGCAGAACAGATATTCTAGCCTCATACTGAGCAGCTGTTTCTAAGATGGAGAAAAAAAACTGGGATCAGTCACAAAATGATACTGAAACACATTCTCTGTCAATTCCAATTATTTGGGTTAAATTTCATTTCATGACATGCAAGTTGGCAAATGAAATGAAACTGCAACCAACTGATCTTCTGAACTATAACATGCTTCTAAATGCAACGGCTTATCGAACAAGAAAAAAAGATGTTGGTTTTATTTTATCAATTGCATTTATATTTACATATTTGGCAGATGTTTTATCCAAAGTGACCTGCACTGCATACAAAGTACACATTTTAACAGTTCATGCACTCCCTGGGAATCAAACCCATGACCATCGCATTGCTAGCGTTATGCTCTACTAATTTGTTACATTTTATATAGCGCTTTTCTGGGTACGCAAAGCGCTTTACATGGAAGGGGGGGGAATCTCCTCAACCACCACCAGTGTGCAGCATCCACCTGGACTTTGCCTACAGTTTGAGCAACGTGAATTTGGTTGTTAATTGGATTGTGAAAAGTGAGGAATGTTGTTGCATTCAGAAAGATCTGAATGTGATTGGCATTACCGCAACCTTAAATATGCGAGCAGAGAGAAGTGATTAGCATTTGATTAAAGATAACAAGGTCATTCTGATGTCACTGCAAAAGGCTCGGGGCCTTACAACTTTATTAGCTGCACGTCTCATTACTTTAGTGGAAACACATTTCACCCCCACCTTTTATTAGTGAATTAAAGAGGTGTTTACTTGTATAAAGCTCAAGATTTTCGCATTCACAGGCTCCTTAAAGATCTTTGACAAGGTATAGTATTCTCCTTTTTTATAATATAGCCTTATAATATGGCTCTATACAAAGTTAAGCTGAGCACCCCCTTTAATTTTTTATTTACTTATTTTATTATATTAATTTTATTATGTAGTTTCAAGTTATGAATTTGTGTTTTCATATATTATTGGCAGGTATTTTATTTTGCTGCATTATTGTACTTGGTAATTGGATGTGGTAATAATAATAACTGGCTTTAGAAATCCTGTCTATACAGGACACTGAGAATACAGCTCTCAAATTGTATAGACTCTTTTAACATCACCATAACACCAAATGGATTTTTTTTAAACGGAACATACATGATCTATTCATGCACATCATCATTCTTTTTAAATTCATGTGCCCTCATAACCTTTCATCAAAAACATTAACTTCCCTTCCCTTTCTTCTCTGATGACGTGTGCATCTGAAGGAGAAACAATAATCCCTCCCATCCAGCAACTTGTCACTCACAATAAACAAATGACAAAAATCCAATGGTCCAATCAATTCCTGATGGATCAAATCAAGTCTCGTCCTAATTTTTTTCTAATTAGAGAAGCCATATGTCACAATAGGTAAGAAAAGACGATGACATTTTCCATTTCATGCCAAAATCAATAGGGTTTTTTATGGTGTTTTGCACTTTTGGGTACAACATTTCATTGCTATCATGTTGTATGTATGGAAAGAAGTGTTCTTCTCCTTTTGTGTTTCACAGAAAAACAGGTTTGGAATGACATGGAACTGAGCAAATATTGACATAATTTTTATTTTTGGATGAGCTACTCCTGTAAAGACGCAGTGTGGCTTTTCTCCACAGAGGTTCCATGATTAATCCACAATCCGCAAACAGACTTGTGATTTACCTCCACCTCAGGTGACCACTCTCCTTCAATCCCACCCTCTCTCTCTCTCTCTCTCTCCCTCCTCACCTCTCAGAGCCTCCTGCAAGGACTGAATCTCCTGGTCGCACTGTTTTTGCAGTTCCTGGAGCTCCTCCTGTTTGCTAAGCTCGCAGATGCTCGCCAGGCCCTGCCAGTGCTCCAGCTGAGCTCGACACTCGATTAGCTGCGTCTGCAGGTCTGCCGCAGCTCCTGCTGAAGGAAAACACAGAAGCGCTTCAGAAACTCTTCTAAAGAGCCTTGTCCCTTTCTCCTACACAGTCATATTTGTAAAGAATCGTTTACAGATATACATGACAGAGCTCTATGTCATTAACAAGATGGACTTTGCCGAAAGCAGATTGACACTAAGAGCACTTGATTTGATTTGTCCAATGCCTATACCGAATTTAAACACGACACGTTAAAAAAAAATATTGATTCTGGTCCTAAACACCTGTTGACTTCTGTTATGATCATCAACAGAAAATAAGATTGTCATCAGCATTCCCACATTTTGTTTGTATGATCTAATGCTGTCTATTCGGCAGCTAACGTTACATGATCAGATATGTTTGCACGCCGAGCTCGGATTGTCATTGCTTACTAACGTTGACTCAATCGCAGCAATCTCGGAATAGTTGCCCAAATGTGTTTATATCGACACAGAGCTCTATTTGCCGACTGTAGTTTAACAAGTAGGCTACTGGTTGTTCATACCATCGTTCTCCTCCTCGCTGCGCGATGCCGTCGTGTCCAAGACCTCCATGGTTTCACGCCGTTTGTCTCGATATTTTCCTTTCGTTTCGATATTCTTCCCTTCGCCCGCATCCGTCTTTCTTTTCCTGTGTGAAGCGCAGCAGGGCCGGGCTTCAACAAAACTGCGCCAAGAGTTCAGGAAACAACTTTCCCCGGTTCAATCCTGCGGATATTACCTAATATTACCTCCATCCTCCCTCGAGGCACACACACACGCGTGGATTGTTTCCAAATCTAGTGAGCTGACTACAAAGACCGCGCTTTTGGGCCTTGTAGGCGTAAGCTGACTGAGAACGCGCCTGGGATGCTGCCTAGGTAGCCAGCTCACTCGGATTTGAGACATAGCCGGAGAGGATGTGAACTATCCTTGCGGTCTTCGTTGGAGGATGTATGTAAATACATAGCTAGATGGCTTTGAATATTTTCCAAAACCTGCGGTTAATCGTGCAACTGAATGACAAAACAAAAGAGAAATAAAACACTTGTATGGACACCGCAGGTTGTCGATTGCAGAGGGTTTAGGATAGATCCTAATTGCCATGACAACCATTTTCCGCAGTATGGGTGCTGCTATCGCTTTTACTTTAAAATCGCAATAAAAATATTGTGATCAAGTCGGTTTCATATTCTTGTGTTTTTCATATAGAATATTTTACGATTTTTGTAGAAACTGTTTGAAAATTCTATTGTCAACGGAAAAAAAAAAAAAGTTGTCTAATGCAGGAAAAATAGTTCCCACTGTTCTTGACCAATGAATTTGCATGCAATTTTAATAAACTGCGGTCAATTCTGATAAATGAACAAGGATTTGTCATAATCGTTTTGATTCCGAGCAAAAGAATCAAGTAGCCGTTTTGGCAGATTCATTATAAAGAACCGATTCAAAAGAACATCGCATACGGTGCAGCACTATGATTGCAAGCAAGTTTTAACAATATATAGACTCAAAACAATAGTCTGTCAGTTATATACCAGATTAGATGTTAACATCTGGCGTAAGAATTAGAAATATATATATATATATAATAGTAAACTACTGATTACAGATCTGTACCAGTACCAAGGGCTGGTCCTAAATGTGGTTATTTTGATTAAAATAAATGTACTCGTGTATATAGAATATACAGGCCTGACAATAATGGACATGATTTTGTTTTCAACAAAGATTTAAAAAAGTTCAGATTTAATCTTAAATCTAAATGGATGTGTTACAGCAAAGCAAAGAGTCTGAAATATAATTTTTACATTCCGAACGAACGAAAGCACACACTCGAAAATTCCAAAGAGGATTTTGGCCTAGTTAGCAGCTAGTTCTTGCTTTGCCAGTTTCTGAAAAGCAATGAAGCCAAACTCAAATACATTTATTATTTTATTATCGTAACAGCAATAACTTGACATAAAAACTTAGGAAACCGTGGTATACAAAAGCCAGCTTCAATATTTCTATTAAAATTGACAATGATGTAAATAAACACCAGAAGTCATAAGAATCTAATGTCATAAATGAAGGGCTTCACATTTCTCAGTAATTCTGGTAATTTACCATAAAATACAGAGTATTTTAGGTACATAGCAGAGAAAAGGAGAATGATATTGCCAAACAATAAGATAATTCAGAGCATTAATCCAATCTTCTAATGTGGCCCTTCAACTATTCCTTACAGTACAATTGTTATACTGCAATGAGACTAAAAAAATAAAACAAACATAGTATTGGTCCACAGCTCCATCATTATTTAATGCTGAAAGACATAGCTAACAGGAGCAGTAGTGTGTAACCAAGCGTCCTTCTCTGTGTCTGCTACATTACAGGAATGATTAGATGCGGTTTAGTGGTACTTCTGGGTGCTGTATTCATCCTATCCAGATCTTTGAAGTCTATATTCCCTCTCAGTTCATGTCCTGATCACCCACACTCTGACGCAGGTACTCCTCATAGAGATTTTTCTGCATAAACATACAAGGGAGTCATTAGTCGAGTCAATCATCACTGTAGCTGTTCTTAGATGAGTCAACACAACACAAATGCACACTACCTTTTTGATCTTCACTACCTCCTGGACATACTCCAGTTTTTGCTGAAGCAGTCTCTTTTGTTTCCCAGAGAATGTTGGTTTGGTCCTAAAAGTGGAATAGAGAAAAACAAGAGATGTTTAGCAAAATGCTGAAGCTGGTCTTTTCCACACAGTGAAAGTATATGGCATAAAGGGGCAAAAATGAATCACTAATCTTCCCCTCTGCAGCAGGTTAGTGAATAAACAAATAAATTGTCCATAAAACTTGTCCAAAAATATTCACTAACCTTCCTTTCTGCTGTAGGTAATTAAATAAATAGCTAAGAAGAAATTTGATACGGTTTACCCTTCACAAAATGCACCAATCTTCCCCTCTGCTGCAGGAAATAAGGAAATCCGTAAAATAAAAATAGCTAGGAGTAAATTTGAAATTCATCAAATTATTCACTAATCTTCCCTTCTGCTACAGTTCTAAAAAACAAATCTAGAAATATCATAAATAGTCCGTAGCACTACATTCTATGACTTCTAAATTTATAAAATAGGAAGGTTGTTTTTCCCCCCACAGAATTTTTCCCTCTACTGCAGGTCTAAGATTAATAAAATGTAAACATTATAGTAAATACCTCCTTCAGTGCTGGCAGAAGAAGCCAAATTTTAGAATGATGTAAAGTAAATAAAATGTTTACTTCTGGCTGATAAAGAAAAAACTACTACGCATGTAAAGTTTATAAAACTTTTTTCACCTGAAAGAAAAGCGAGCAAGGAGGATAAAGATGAAGGACAACAGCACCAGTCCAGCACAACTGTACAGCTGCACCTCTGCTGACAAGGATTCAAACGCCTTCACTGCAGGAACCTGAACACACAAACCCACACTTACATCAGTATCTACAGTGAATCCCACACACACGAATGCATATACATACTAACCACATATAGTGTGAGTGCCTCTATGCCACTATTACCCAGCATGAGCACCAGCACATCTTTAGAGAGGCTGCCAAGCACCAGGGTCACGAGCAGAAGCAGGGGCATAGTGAAACCCAGCATGCCCAACAAACAGCCCTTGAAACGTGATCGACGGTTCTTTATACTGCACTGCCTATAGAGAGTTTAACACACAATGGCAATTGTAATATTAGACAATCTGATAAACATTGGCATTTACCTATACAATATGTATGAATACAATACAAGGATGTAATACCGGTCATTATCAAGTGTCTCAGTGATGGCCTCGGTGATGAGGTTGCAGTCCTTCTCCAATGAGTTAAGCGTGTTCTGCACAGTCTGGTTAATGGTCTTCTCTATAGTCCGACACACCTCCTCTATCTGATTGACACATCGACTGGTCTGATGGTGGAGACAGTAAGGAAAAAGCTTCAGTAATCTTTACTTAAGCACGAAAGTTGTCACAGTTACAGTGAGGAACTGAAAGATTGTGGTAGCACCTTATTAGGGTTGGGTACATAGATGGTGGGCATGTCAAAGCCACACTTGTTGAGTCCTGGACGCTTGCAAAGCTCCTGCACAATCTGCATCATAACTCTCTGAAATAGCCAATAACAAAAGCAATTTGACATATCGTTACTAAACAGTCAAACAAAGACCATTTGCCTTTAAAGATCTCATCTTTTACAGTCCCTTGAATATATATATAGCTAATATTTTATATACTATTAATACATTGATATTTAATATTTAATATTTTGACATTTTAAAATAAAAGGGGTATTACAAATTGTAATAATTTACAATATTACTATTATTACTGTATTATTGATCAAACAAATGCTTCTCTAAACTGTAGTGTATATGCTTATGATCACAGTAGTTATACATTTTATTTTGCACGTATAAGAGCTTCTTACTTGTCGATCAGAATCTCCTCCAGCCTCATCCGCTTTACTGAGATAAAATCGGAGACGGTCTCCTTGCTTCTCATTCAGTTTCTCTACAATGTTGAGTGTGCGCTTGCATAAAGCCTGTCCCATTGGGTCAAAGAAGACCAGGATCAGATCACAGAGCTCACCTGGTGTAGACAGGCAGAATCAGGATACAGCGACACGTATTAGGACTACAAATGGACATTTATAATACTTACTTTAGACTTACAAACAACATTACAAAAATACTAACTCTGGAACACACAAATACACACCGAGCCACAGAATAGCTTGATCCACATCAAAGGGGTACTTCATATCTCCATCCACCAGACCAGGAGTGTCAACAAAGGTCACCAAGCTGAAACGTTTCTGTCGTGAAGTACAAATCTCAGTGCTGAGGTATTCTGACACCCCTGAAATTGAGAGAAAGTTGCAATTTAGACACAGCTTCCATAAGCCTGTAGTTCTTTTTAGTGCGATTCAGCAACAAACCTTTAAACTCCTGCAGTGGTTTGAAATGGGGATAGAGATGGAGCGTTGCATTTCCCTAAAACCAAGGCGACAGTTGTTATACAAGACATTTATATAAATGCCAATTTCATGCCCAAACCATGTCACACAAAACTTTCATGCAATATGCATGGGGTCATATTTACTGTGAGCGATTCCCTCTTTCGCCCACTTGTAACAAAGCTGAAGCCCTGTGTCTCTATCGCGACCCCTGTTCTTTGAATATGCTCCTCCACATACCTGCAAAGCAATAAATGCATGGCTTACTGTTTGAACTAATGGTTCTCACTTTTTCAGTCTAACACAAACAGCAATCTGAGTGCATGTTTTCATGTCTGTATATTAGCCTACCAATTGACAAAGCTGCTCTTTCCAGCGGAGTGGTTCCCCATCAACATCACAGTTATCTTTTTCCGGGGAGGCAGCAAGGTCACCCCAACAGTCTGAGCGATTGTTATTAATCCTACAGAGCAAAGGATTGAGTGATTAGACAAAAGAAAGTGTCAGTATTTCAGTTTTACAGTGGGTGAGTAAGTGAAGAACATTTGTGCTTGTGCGTGTGTGTGTGTGTGTGTGTGAGAGAGAGAACTATCCTTTAAAGACTGCGGTCAAGCCAGCCTCCACTTTGAAAAACACGGTCATTCTAGCCGCCACGCTGTTTTGCGGTGCACGCATATACTAGGCATTACAGTAATAGCGTGTAAAACTCAGATCAAAGGAAAAGTGATCTCTGGCATTCATTTATTGAGCCAGTTTCTCTGTCAATGAATGAATGAATGAATGAATGAATACATTTAAAATAATACAAATGTTTAAAAAACGGTCTGATAAAAATGAAAATGACTTAATGTTGAGTAATATTAAATGTAGAATTTAACAAAAAACAAAAAAAAAAGTCAAAAAAAAAAAAAAAAAGTCTGATGAGAAATAACAAAATAAAACCCTTTAATGAACTTGTATATTGC